TCACTGCTGGTGCCATGTAGCATTTCTATTCATTTGTCTTTCAGGTCTGTCACTGGTGGTGTCCGCCCTTGTCCGTTGGCCATGAAGCATTTCTATTCATGTGTTTCCCAGGTCCGCAACTGCTGCTGTCGGCCCTTTTCCGTTGGCCATGTAGCATTTCTATTCATTTGTCTCCCAGGTCTGTCACTGCTGGTGTCCGCCCTTTTCGTCGGCCATGCAGCATTTCTATTCATTAGTCTCCCAGGTCTGTCACTGTTGGTGTCCGCCCTTTTCCGCTGGCGATGCAACATTTCTATTCATTGTTTTCCAGGTCTGTCACTGCTGGTGTCCGCCCTTTTCCGCTGGGCATGCAACATGTCTATTCATTTGTTCCCCGGGTCTGTCACTGGTGCTGCCGCCCTTTTCCGCTGGCCATGTAGCATTTCTATTCATTTGTCTCCCATGTGATTTCTTTCTTTTTGTCTTTCAGGTTTGGTGCCTGCACTGCTGTTTTCTGCCCTGTCCGCTGGAACAGGTTCGCCTGTGAAAGGTTCTTGCTCCTTTGCAAGGGGTGCGTGACTGTCTCAGGGATTGCATTCCTGCCACACTGTGTAACTCTCTCAGCTTTGTTTCTTTTCGGGCAACAGTTCGATGAATGACCAGATTGGATTACGGCGGCGTGGCAGCGATCTCTCTGTTCAGTTGGGGCGGAGGGCATACGTCAGGCACCAAAAATCAATTTCATGTCACATCCTTCGCTCCTCATGCTTTTGTTTCTTGTCCTCACGTGGTCAGCTCCCCGCTGACATCATGTTCGCGCTTGAAGAATGATTCCCCAAAAGGTTTACTGCTAGGGCTTCTCAATTCTTTCTTAAGATGTGTCTGCCCGCTCTGTACTGCTGTGTCCGTCTCTGCCTTGCAATCCTTTACATTTGTCTCCCAGCTCTGGACGTCGCAGGCTCTAGTTTCGATTTTCAAAAACACAAACTGTTTGGGGTCTACGGTGGTGTAATGTTCTTCTATTTTCCCCTTGATTGCCTTCTGCACCTTCCTTTTTACCCCCACATCCACCTGGCTTTCCGCTCTCCCATGCTCTCGCTTCTGCGCCGCCGCCGCCGCCGCTCGCCAGGCATCGATCTCCTCCGCGGTGTAGGTTCGCTGCTCGGCGCCGGTCCAGCGGAGCCAATGCTCGGGGAGGCGGGTGCTCCGGTTCGTGGCGACGATCAAGTGCTGCACGTAGGGCTGCAAAGGAGAGAACTTGGCCTCAGGGATGCGGGACTCAGTTTTCTGAGCTGTTGTTGTTTTCTTTATGTCTATGCTTTAAGGACTCAGGAGAAAGTGACACATAGATAGATATTATATATAGATAAATAATGAATATAACAAATATGTATGAAACATGATTGATTCTTGATTGGTAGTTTGATGTTTGAATCCGTACTATTCATCCTGAAATCTGGCTTCATGGATCTTTAAGGTGTCCAGTCAAGCATGAGTGAGTGTGAACACCAAGCGTTGTCTCTTCTATTTTACTTTGACTATATATATATATATATCCACAGATTCAACACAACTTTTGTCTCCCTGCTCCTGTGCCAGCGTGTAGAATGTGCTCAAGCAATTCCCCGGCACCCTGTTGGCATAGTCCTTTGCTTGAACCGCCACTGACAGGTTCAAGGCCAACGAATCGATGCCTTTGTCTCGAAAGGGTAAGCCCAAGTGCCGTTTGAGCTTGGCCTCGGCTGAGCTCTCTCTCTCTCTCTCTCTCTCCGCATAGAGTTTTCCGGCTGTACTATAGCAGTAAGTCAAACTGCAAAGCCTCACTCCATGTGATTCCAAAACGGAAGTGGTTTTGACTGAGTACACAAAACGTTTCTTCGAAGGTTCACGTGTTCATCGATATTCACAACTGACCTGTTCAACTGGCGCTGCCAATCTACTGTGCTCTTCCTTCCGTATATGTTGTCGTTTTTTCCTGACCCACCAAATCGCCAGCCATAAAAATCCAGGTCACTGGCACGT